CTGCCGGCTCCGCGGCGTGGACGGCCTGGAAAGTCACATGGCGGTGGGACCGGCCCGCGCCTCCACGCTCCCGCTCCCTTCGGGGCAGGACAAGATAGCCCAGTCCACTCACCTCCACGAAGAGCAACATGCCTTCCCGGTTCGACCCAATCGTTCTCGCCGCTGCTACTCCAAAAGGCTTACAGGCCCGAGCCCCGAACGCTGGGATAAGGACACTCGCCCGGCCCAACCACCCGGCAGCGGACCCGGCTCCTCCCCCGCCGTCAGCCGCTGAGTTCTGACCCGCCCAGTCCCACCTCCCGTGAAACATCAACTGTTTCCTGTGCTAAAGAACAATTGCTTCCGGGAGCAAAGACAATCCTTCGTGCACTCAACTTTGGCACCACCTTTTCCTTCCCAGCGGCAGCCTGGGATGTACTACCGTCGGTCCGGGGGGGTGGGGGAGGGAAGCGGTCCGGGAAGGCACCATTCTGTGCTACGGGGGTGTGTAAGGGTCTTACTGCATTTCAACCATTGCAAAGCGGCCACAGTTTCGCAGTTTTCATAGCTCAAAATCTACATCTGATAAAAAGCCGAGCTTGTGCGAAATGGTCTCTTTCTTTCTTTCCTTTTTTTTTTTTAGTGTGTGTGCCAAGTGTTCCGAAAGAATGCCCAACCCTGCCGAAAAGGTGGTGGCTCACAGAAAAAAAGTAGAGAAGGAAAAAAAAAAACCACAGTAATAGTAAACATATTAATAGCAGCAGCTGTATTAAACGCTTACTGTGTGCTTGGCACTATTCTAAGTATTTTACGGTAATCTTAAAACCATTACATGCAGTAAATGCTATTATCCGCATTTTACAGTTAATCCTCCTAGGAGGGCGGGTTTCATTTAGACACACCTTTAAGGAACTTTGCCCTTGTTAGTTTGTTTGTTTTTTAATCAGCTACCCACATCTCCGCTTAATATCATGCTACTTTTTAATACTTAATCTGGATAGCTTCTTCTTGATGTTCTGCCATCAATTCAAATGGAATATAAAAACATTTTTTTAGAGTGTAAAGTGAAATAAGTTTATTAGTGAAGCAGTGAGACAGACAGAAGGCTACTCCCCAGGCAGAGCAGCCAAAACAACAAAAATTCTTACTTTTCTGTTAGATGGTCCAAATTCCTTATTATACCTCCCTCATCAGTCCCACTTCTATATCCTGGTTCAGGCACTCACTTTTGAAATAATCATGTCTTGATTTTTTCCATTCTATTATATAAACTGAAGGTTTCATTTTCACTAAACTGCTGTGACTTGCTTTCAAGACCATTCTGAGCCCATTTACCTCAAATGAATTTCTTTACTTTTTCAATTAAATAGTAAATCAATTCCCCCATCAAATTGTTGATATTTGTGTCTCATACTCTTCCTAATCTGATCATCAGTAAATGCAACATTATTTCATATCAATTAAACCAATCTCCTCACTTTCCCCCCTGAAATACAAGCTCAGCACTCACCTCCAAAGCCATGGCTCAAAGTGTCTTCCCTCTCTGGAAAGCCTTCATTTATCAATCAACCTTCTCTCTCCATAAGGTTTTCCCAAAGACTGTACTCCCCACAGATCTCTTCTTCATGTCCCTTGTTAGCACTTGAATATTATATTCTATCTTGTTATTTTCTTTTTTCTGTTTCTTTACAGGTACCCTATTATATTCTTCAAAGTCTAGGATAATGGTAGTCACATAGTAGTGTCTCAAAAATGCTTCTCCAATTGAAAGGGAAGGAGAGAGTTTTAAATTTGCTTTAAAAAATCTTCATTTCCAGTTGCTGATGAATTCCATGCTGCATGAAAAATATGAGAGCACAATAATGCTAAATTAGTTTAGTTGATAAGCATGCTGGCTGCTTTGTGAATGCCTATTGGAGTAAGCAATGTAAAGAAATCAAGAGCAATAAAAACAATTTAAGGATCTCACAATGTAATATTTTCAACAAAGTACTTAAACAAATTAATTGATAATGACAAATGCTGGATAATGATGGATATTTTCACACACCTCACATTTATAAAAATAAATAATTTTCTTTAATCGTGGTCCTTTCAGAAAACATCATGAACTTTCTTGAATAAATATACTTAATTGTGATTTACAGAAAAGGAGGGAGTAAATAATTTATGAGTAGGGGCAGGATGGGCAGTCTAACAATAAAAGAAAGTATTCTGGCCCTAGCCGATTTGGCTCAGTGGATAGAGCGTTGGCCTGTTGACTGAAGGGCTCCAGGTTCGATTCTGGTCAAGGGCAAATGCCCAGGTTACAGGCTCGATTCCCAGTAGGGGGCTTGCAGGAGGCAGCCAATTAATGATTCTCTCTCACATCATTGATACTTCTATCCTCCCTTCCTCTCTGAAATCAATAAAAAAATATTTTTAATTAAAAAAAAGAAAATGTTCTGGGGCTTAGAAAAGTTTCTGTAAGGAGAGAAATCTGAAATTATAATAGATATCCAAATTTAGACAGTATATGTAGAGAAAATGAGAAAGAATACATCAAATGTTAGAAAAAGAAAACTAAGTACAGCATCTGGTTTTGAGTTTGCACTAATGGTAGAGACAAATGATAGCTACACTTTAATGAGATAAGTACTATAATAGAAAGTTTACAAAGTGACTTGAGAAAACAGGAAGTAACTTAGACAACAGGATCTTAAAGAAAAGAAAAAATATCTAATTTGCTCTCTGTATATTGATATTTTTAAAAGACAACTGCTTTATGATCCTCTGCTTCCCTTTTTCTGAAAGCCTGCAACATATCAGTTGTTTAACTCCACAAGTTTACAACAAGGACTCAATGTAGGACTAAATTTACAATAAGGTTACAGTAAGGACTCGATTGGAAGTTCTTATAGAGAAATTAAGTAATACATCCACAACTTGTATAAAATGTAAAACCTATAAAACAATATTATATAGTTTATTAATATATACACTGGTGGTAAACTACATAAACATAGACTAGACATAAATATATCTAATTCATGACAGTCATTGCCTCTAAAAAGGGACAGAGGGGAAGGAAGGAGTCTGGGGAGAATACCAAAGGGACTTCAACTTATATCTAATGCTTTCTTTTAAAAAGATTTGAAGCAGCCCTAGCTGGTTTGGCTCAGTGGATAGAGCGTTGGCCTGCGGGCTGAAGGGTCCCAGGTTTGATTGCGGTCAAGGACACGTGCCCGGGTTGCGGGCTTGATCCCCAGTAGGGGGCATACAGGAGGCAGCCAATCAATGATTCTCTCTCATTGATGTTTCTATCTCTCTCACCCTCTCCATTCCTCTCTCAAATCAATAATAAAAAAGATCTGAAGCAGATATGACAAAATGTTAATATTTGTTCATTCTAGGTGACAGACACATGATTATAATATTTACTTTCTGTACTTTTTCATATTTTTTGAATTAAAAAATAAGAAAGCTATACAGCCAACAAAACCACTGTCCTTTAATTTCTCCAGCCTCTTACATCCTTTCACATCCTCTGCAATCAAAGAAGCTACCCAAAGTACTCCTCTTTCAGTTAGAAAGTAACCTCTAGTACCCTTCCATTTCTGGAGCCAACTATGGAACTTCAAAGCCTTCTTCAGTCAGGTTCCTTGAAAAAGACAGGTAACTAGGCAGTGCAAAGAGTATAGTCATCATTCAAATAATATCTTCTAAGTTATTACATGTCTAGGAAAAGTTGAGGGGCAGCTGAGGAAGTTGTAACACAATTACTCCATTACAGGCTTAAATATTTTTAAGCAAAAATTCAAGAAGAGAGAAGAACCAGGAGTTACATTTCATACACTGGATCTTGAATTCTAACACCTAGATTTTAAGCTTATTTAAGCTGGGCTATATTTCTATTTCTTTTATCATTCCTGTTGTCTGTTCTTTCCACCCTCCGCCCTGCACCCTTCTACCAACACAGCATATAGAATGCCTGGTTCTCTGCATATAGTAAGCACTCTTAGAATGTTTGAGTCAATGATAATGTCACAACAGGTCTATTATGACATCATGAGGACCAGAACACCAGGGTTAGCAACAAATTAGTGGCGAGGTAAACCACAATCTCTGAGAGCAGGAAAGACTTCTTGTAGCTTCCTTGTGGACACGTTTATTACCATTTGCCTATATTCTGAGGAGGAAATAAAGAAGAAAAAGAAATAAAAGAAAATCACTTGACTTTGTCAAAATGAAAAATGAGACACACAGTGAGTCTGATTCAGAAAAGAAAGCTGTGGATTACACCATCCAACCCAAAGCGGACCCTGAGGCCTCTAGACTTGAGACCCCTGCCTCAGTGCAGGACGTCATGTCTAAGATTGAGCAAGCACAGCTCCTTCGAGCCAGAGAGGTAGGCATAGTTCATGAGAATTTTATAGGTTGCAACTTACTTTTTCTTTAACTTTTCATGACCAGCTATGTTTTTTTAGAACTCATTTTATTTGCATGAAATTTGACTGTTTAAGGTCATTTTCATTTCAAATGACAATTTCACCTGACTGTGGATAAACAAGCTCCAATTTTATATTTAGTCTGTTTCATTTTCATCTCAGAATTAATCAAGCTTTCTAAGAAATAAATCACATGTGCTAATGAATGATTGAGAATCAGAGAAATTAAAATTTATAGCTAATTTTGATATCTAATTTTAGTCAATAGTTTTCATTTGTTCCTGACTGACTTATCAAATAGCTTATTAGCAGTGATTCATCCTCATAGATTTTCTTTGTACATTCTTTGGGATTTTCTACATATACTAGAGGCCCGGTGCATGAAATTCAGGCATGGGGCAGGGGGGGGGGGTCTCTCAGCCCGGCCTGCACCCTCTCCAATCCACAACCCCTCAAGGGATGTCCAACTGCCTCTCGCAATCCGGGACTGCTGGCTCCTACCGCTCACCTGCCTGCCTGCCTGATCACCCCTAACTGCCTCTGCCTCATCCCGCACCGGGGCCCACGATTCCCTCCTCTGGCCGGTTTCAGGCACCCGGGACCCAGGCTTCCCTCCCTCTGGATGGCTGCAGGCACCCAGGACCTAGGCCGGCTTCACCAGGGCCAGCCGCAGCTTTGCCCGGGCCAAAGGCGCTGGCGCCCAGGACCACGGGGCGTGCGGCTTGTCCCTCTCTCGGGCCATAGCCTGGCTGGTCCCCATTCCTCTCTCCCCAATGTTGAGTGTCTGAGCAGTTAGGGCGTGATGGTGTGAGGGTGTGACGACCATTTGCATATTAGCTCTTTATTATATAGGATAATCCTGT